CTGCAAGAAACGCTTCTCTGGCCATTGCTCACTGTTGTATGTCAGGAGCAGAAGGGGAGACATATGGTCAGATACTGAATTGGTGACACTAATCTTGGGTGCCCACCTTGAAACTATGCTGATTGTATAGATCTTCTGTGCTGCCAGGAGGAAGGTGTGTGTGTGTAGTATCCATGTTTTCACCTACATGAATGTAAACTATAAGTACAACTTGACTGGTTGGTGGAGGCGTACAACCGCAAGGTGGTAATTCTAGTTTTAGTGTAAGTTAAAATGCAAATGCAAATTTAGGCCCCTCCTCATACTTAGAAGAACCACATACTTGAGAGGGAAAGGGCAGCTGACTGCAGCGAAAGTCCAATGTCTATAGACAGGAACTGGAATTCGAGATAAGTGCCCACACTGCAGATATCTTACAGTTTTTGTGCAAGAGAGAAAAAATTGTAATTTCAAAGGTCATTAGAAATAATATTTTACTGATAGCACTGCTGATGGGGAAGGTCAGGTGTTAGAAGCTCACATACTTTAACATGTACTGTTTATCAAATTTGTTTGCCACAAGCAAATTGTCTCTATTAACAGATATCTGCATATGTATACAGGATCAATAGGCGACAGGACAAGATTTTGGTATCGAAAGCGTTCTGGTTTCTGTTTGTAGTCTGAATAGCATTGACTAATCATTTTTGAACGGCAGATAAACAGTCCATGTAGAGAGGTGTAACGCATTGACCAAGGTGCAGTCTTGGAACTCACTGGGTATCGTCTGACAACAAGTCAGCTTTATATTAGTTTTTTTTTTAATCTGCATTTTATGCATTTGTCTGTTTATAGAGATTAGCCAAAATGACTGATGCAGGAAGAGGAAGTTCTTGGCTTGGATATCTGCTGGCTACACCAGATCAACCCAAAAAAATGGCCCTCGCCCCCTGAGGCTTTATCATCATCAGACAATAGCCAATGGGTTCTGAGACTGCAAGCACGAAAAACCCTCCACATCTTATTTGTCACATGGAATTATACAACATACAACTCCAGCGAAATGTGATCCCATCAGCTCTGTTAACTTGTGCACTATAATGTAGTCCTCTTTTGCATCTTCATTGTTGGCTGCTGCTTTTAACTGTCCATGTTTCTAGATGGTTCTTGTAATCCATGGTTTTTGGTTGTATAATGATTTAACTGTTCACACGTCCTAACCTCAACATGACGGACACATAGTTAGTCTTCACAAACAGCGTATAGCAGTGATCCACAGCAGGATCAGGACAGCACCTCACATTCCCACCGTCAAACCAGTAAAGCACACACTTCCCCCACCTCTCTCGCCAGTCCTCTGCTCTAAGATCGGAAAAGAGCCTCCTTGTTGTATGGCTTTGTCCCAGATTTAGCCAGGTTCACTTGTCATATTATACGAAAGTGACCTGACTAGACCTTGGTAGCTCACCGCTCATCATCTCCGCTTGAAATTAGCATCTCTAGAAGACAATATATGGCATCAGCATAAGAATGAAAAAGAGTACTTCTTTAAGATATAAATAACAGAGAAATTCTAGATTTTACTTCCTCCCCTCATGCACAGATTGATTTTCAAACTTACATCGTCTTAGCTGTACTGGTTTTGTTTAAATGAACACCAGAGAATCCCTCTGAGTTTTATATATTTTACCTTTATATACATTACAGTATATTTCTATAAAGTTGCTCATTGTGGTGCTTTGCTCAGGGGTAAATGTAAAGGTAGTGGACAGAGAAGATGGGAAGGGAAGTCAACCTGTTGTAAAGTTCCTGGGTTTAAACTAAATATTGAAGTGAATTACTGCCCCCCCCCCCCCCAAAGTACAAGACAGGGATTGTTTCTTTTTTTATTTTTTTTTTTATTCACTTGGTCCGCTTTACAATCCCAGCTGAAATCAAGTCATAAAAGTGAAAGATAAACATGTGACTCGATAATTTTGATCAATAAAGCTCAATGTCTGTCAAGCGCAGGGATCATGGTGGGGTATGATGGATCTGTGCTCTGCGGTGGGAGGCCTTGGCTCAGAGCACCTGATCGAGAAAGGAACTGAAAAATGCTGAGATGAAAGTGCACAGTCTTATCCAAGCCTGGGAACAAAACGTGACCCTCTGTTTCTGAGACAGCTTACTCAGGAATTTGAGATGTGTTACTCAAGAGTCTGCTGATTCCGAACTGACTTTACAGCACCAATAATATGACTTTTCAAGGTCAAAAAATACCATGGGTTACATTTCCTCAAACAACATGTAATCATTATGTATTTTGTAATATTCATTTTGCCTCATTTCTTAATCCTAACACATTTTGAAGGCAACAGTCCAACGGTGTGTCATAGTTCACCTGCTTATACAACAATTTGAGAAACGTCATCTACATATATAACTCACTACTATACTGAATTACATCACACAATACTGACACTGTAAAAAAAAAACCTGAGTTTGGACTCTGGAAGACCGTAAGTGCTATATTGTAGACGCACTGCTGTTGGGTAAAAAGGTGAGGGATGACTCAAAATCAGTCAGACAGAAGGCTGACTGATTCCCCTCTTGGATTTTTCCTGGTTTTAACACTGAATTACAGTGAGTCTTCCTTCTTAAAGGGCCAGTGTGTAATATTTGGCATGGTTTATTGTCAATCTGAATCTGAATCTGAATATTCTATCCATTAATATGTTTATACAAGTGTATAATCGCTATAAAATAAAATTCGTTTGGTTTTCGTAGCCTTATAATTATGCTTATATATATATATATATATAGCAAGGGCCTTGCTTTAGAGAGGTCGCCATCTTGCGCCGCCATGTATGTACGGCAGACCGAGCGGACAATCCAGCCAGCCAGAGAACGCATTTTGCGTGTATAAATAAACCAATGAAGACAGCGGAAGGAAGGAAGAAGGAGGAAACAGCAGAGAGTGTTAGTAGGTCGTCAATAGAGAGTAGTGAAAAGTTTTTTTTAGTTATAAAGTTTGCGAATGGACCACATTTACCACGCAACAGGAGAGAATGAACCCGAACCGTCATCTGCGAGGAAAAGAAGACGCAACTTCACTCCTTGTGATGCACTCTCTGCGGCGCTTTTCCTCCTGATGATATATCTCCCCAACGATGGTAGCACCGAATCCCATTCTGTGCATTCAGCCTCTCTTCTCGCCCGCTCAGCATCAAACACATGGAGTTCCTCATCTGTATACTCCGGCTCAAACAGGTATGGCTCTGGGTCTGTGTCCGCTACAAGAAACTTTTCAAAATCGCGTTCAGAGTCGTCCATTGCAGCTACTATAGTCCGGAGATATTGCTAGGCTAAATAAACAGCTGAGCTCTGTTTACCGGCTAAGCTGTCAGTCAGTGTGCGGGCTGGAGGTTGGCGGAGCATAGAGGGGAGGGGGTCCCCACTCGGTATGGTAAACGAGTAGGTGTGTATGAACTGTGTCTGTTACGCTAGAAGAGTCAGAGTTTGGGACGGAGTCTTTTACCCCCTGGAGTGTTACCGGAGTTTATGGAGTGCTCAAATAAACTGGCCTTTTTCCTGAACACTCCTCTGGTCTCCTGCTCGTGAGGGATTCATTACAATATTGTAACATGGTTTAGATTTCTAAATAAATATTCACCTCGTCGCTAGATAGACCTACTCCTGAAAAACTTGTGTGCAAGGCTTTTTGTCCCTAAGAGGCCACCGTCATTTACCCGACGGGAGGGGTGAGAGAGTGAGCCCTGCAATCTAGAATTTGACCACTGATGTCACTGTTTTCAACCCATTTTACACACTTGCCCTTTAACACTTAAACTCTTATCAACTAAAACACTTTCATGTGCAAGTAAAAAAGTAACTATACAAAGACACCAAACTAAATGATTGCATAACTATTCAATCCATTTACTGTGACATACAAAAATCAACACTGGTGCAGCCACTTGTTTTAAGTGAAATGATGATTGTGTTTAATGAAGGCACAGCAGTTAAATAAAGCTTTATGTTGCAGATCCAGGTGTTTTTAATTTAATATTTTGTCAAAAAGTATGTCATGAAGACCAGATTCCCAACCAGGGAGGGACTGAGTAAATAGTTCACATAATGTGAAAACGATAATATAAATCTCTGAAAATAAAAAAGAGTATAACCTAAACATCAACGATTATGTCAAACTAGAGACAGTCTTGCGATGGGATCACTCCAGCTGCAACAAAGTGATCAGAGACTTAAAACAAATTTGAGCCAGGGGTACAAAGTGGGGGGTTCAATGGCCCCTTCCCTACTTCCAATCAATAATTTATTTGTCACACAAGATCATACGAGGTACAACTCCAATGAACGGTGATCCCACCTCTGCCCCCTTGCATGGACCACTCCCATCTTCAAACGCCTCCGTTATGATCTCAACTTCACATCTGTAAAGTCTTGTGACTGCATCTGGCACAACTGCAATGTTGTCGCGGTAACAAAATCTGTCCACGGCCGACAGAAAAAAATACTCAAAACAACTTCTGTGGTAATTCTGCTACAATAGCTGTTAGACCACAGTTAGACCACAGTTAGACCACAGTTAGACCACAGTTTGCAATTATGACACACACACAGATTCACAATATGACAACAGCCATCGTGTTATCGCGGCTGGTAAAAAGGTCGGGAACCACTAATGAAGACAAAGAAGGATTTCAGACAATTAACTGAAAAGGCAGAAGAATCATAAAATTTAACAAATATTTCACGGCCATACATGTCCGTGAAATATTTAACAAATATTTCACGGACATACATGTCCTCAGCTAGTTATCATTAGCAGGCATGTGACACTGAAATGAAATGAGAAGGTTCTCTGTCTTTTGATTCAGTAAGTGTGCTTTTTGATCATCATAGTAAACTTTATGTTAGATGTAAACCGAAGACCGTACATCAGCAAAAACACATCTTCCCTTGCACGAAGTCTGGTAGTGGCACCATTTTTTTCTGCAGCAGGAACTAAGAGCCTTGTAAAGTTAGTGAGTAACAGGGAGTCATTTTACAAACTTTATTTGCAAGCACTAAAGATTCCAAATTGCTAATAAATATGGAGCTCTTGCATGCTTATGTATGGATCACAAATAAAGTGATAGTCCAAAAAGTGTCAAAAGAAGATAATGGGGAAAGCTTGCATGTTGCAGACTTAGTGTAAGCAGCCCCAGAACTGCAGTGAAACACAAAAACCCTTGAGGAAAACTTGCTGCAGTCTGCAAGAGAACTGTGACTTAGGAAAGGATTTATTTTCAGACAAGACAACAACAAACATTAAGTCAAAACTACACAATGGGACTACACACTAATGTTAATATTCTGGTGTGTCAATTCAGAATCCAGATCTCAGTGCAGTCCAGAGTTTGGGGTAAGACTTATAAACTGCAGTTCACATATTATCCCAGTCAAACAGAGCTTCAGCAGTTTGAAAGAGGAATAGGGGAGATTTTTTTTGTTCAAATGTTGAAACTGATACAAACCACATTGACTCAAGGCTGTAACTGCTGCAAAAAGAGTGAATACTTATGCAATCAAATATTTCTGTTTTGTAACTGCTTAGAGATTTATTCACACTTTGACATTGTTTTTTTTTCTTCCAGAGGAAATCCATTCTGACTTAATGGCATAAAACAAAACAACAAACACTGTTGTGTTAAAAACTTTCTATAGGCACTGTATCTGTGCGAGTGTCTCTGTAAAGAGCCATGTTCAAGAGTTCAGGAGGCCCGAAAGCCAGCTGTGGTCAAGTTTCTTCACCCTCCTCAGTTCTCTAACCTGTGCTTTTGTTAGAGCGGGGGCTGTCGCCAGGCCTCCCAGAGACGCCTGCTCTGGTCCTTGAACGCTGGATTCCATTTCGCCATCTGAATCCTCTTCCTCTTTCTCGCTCTCCATTTCCTCCTCTGCATGTTTATTTTTCTCCCTGAGGACACGAGAACACAAATGGGGAAAAAAAGTTAACATGACTGCATATTTTCAGAGATAAATAAGAGAGTTCACATTTTTCCATGTGCGTTGTTTTAGCCAGAATCTTAAGTTTCTGAATCACATGACACCTGAATTCCAGAATAGAGCTGGATTTCTCCCAGTTAATAAATATTACGTATTAAAAAGGCACAAATAACCACTATGACTGTGCCAATTTTCCAGCTGTTACTGGCTTATTAATAAAATACATGGATATTTATTCAGAAAATGTCTTGAATTTTGAAAGCCTGACAAAAGGTTTTCAGACCAGCCTTAGTGGATCACTGACCTGGTGTCTGTAACGGAGATGAGCAGAGACTGTACAAACATTGAACAGAGGAAAGAGGTTGAGGGCAAGACATGAGCCGGGGTCTGCAGAAGCTGTCAAGAAAGAAAGAAAAAAAAACCTTTAATGCACTATAAACTGATATTAAAAAATGTGAAGATCTGAAAGTCTTAAAGTCAATGTCACAAATTTAAGATGCACAAACACAAACATACAACTCAAAGTGAACATAATCCATGCAGGGCTGGATTACCGACCTCTCTGATAGCAGCAGAGCCCTGTGGCAGAGGTGTTCTCTCAGCAGACAGACTGCTCAGCATGTCTTCACTCTCCTGTTGCCTGTGTTTCCCCAGCAACAGGTGGAACGGTGTCATGGCAACACTGTCATCGATTACAAGCTTAAAGGGAGGGATCACAATGTTAGGGAAAACAGGCACTGTTTCACATTAATAAAAAAACAGGTCAACAATTTAAGGAGGTGAAGGAAGACCGTACAGATGAGCGAAACAGAGCAGGCATATCTGGATACTTCGTGTTCTCATTTAATTAGGGAGAGAGAACACAGACTTGTCAACAAAGGCTACACTGATCTGCAGATGGCTCATTTATTGGACCGCTGTGGTAATCTCTTGCCAGTTCTTGCAATTTTAGCCAAGATAATGAACTGGCTCTTCACCATTACCCTGTGTTCATTCCAGAGGACAACATATGAAACAACACTTGATACAGGCATCAGTCCAGCTCACAGTTTTCATTGTATTAGTTTTGTTATGTTTAGAGTGCCAAGCATGAGGAACTGAGTTCAGAAAACCTGCTCTGAACTTGCTTGGTAAGTGACATCCTGAGGTTTTGGGCAGCAGGCCAAAAATGAGTGAAACTCATTGCTGACCGTCGGTTGGTGCTCAGGTGTGCCGTACCTGTTTGCTGGATGCCATCAGTCTGTCCTCCTCCGCCTTAGTGGTGAATGTCATGAGATCCTGCAGAGGAGAATCCATATCAGTCAACAGTATGAACACAATAGCAGCACACAGAATATGCAAAAGGTAATTAGGGACTCTTTTTTACTGCAATGTTACTTTTCTCAACGGCACACTGTAACTAAAATGACAGGATACTTGCCATGAGAGTAAGGACACATGAGGATATCACTGAGAAGATACAGAACAGAACCTGAAGATGTGGCTTGTGGTCATTTGGTTTCACTGATGTTACCCATTTCATCATAACAGTTTCAATCACTAACAAATATGCCAGCTTATAAAAATCTGTAAGTGTAGCACCCCCTTTAGGACCAATCACTGTAATTTTTATTGTGTGTGTGCAAGATGTAATTACCATCTTACTTTGTACATCTCCACACACCAGTCAAGTTGCACTTACAGTTTACATTCATGTTCATGAAAACATGGATGCGTCCCACACATATTCCTCTTGACAACACAGATGATCTATACAATCATTAAGTTTCAAGGTGGGCACCAAAGATTAGAGTCACTAATTCAGTATCTGACCAAATGTCTTCCCTTCTGTTCCTGAGATATGACACAGTATAATGGCCAGAAAAGTATTTTTTCAGAACATTATGATGTCAGTGAGGCTGACTTTTGAATATACTATGTCATCACTTCATTATTTTATCCTATTAGATGTTTGTGTGAAATTATGTCATATTTAGCATATGAATTCTTGAGTTATGGCCAAAAACATGTTTATCAAGGTCACAGTGATCTTGACCTTTGAACTTTCACCACCAAATTCCAACCACTGAGTCTGTGTGAACATCTGTGCTAAATTCAAGGAAATCCCTCCAAATTCCATACTGGAACCAGTACCGGTATCAGTTCAGACGTAAACCGTACCAAATCCTACCATATACAGTATGCTTATTACAGAGAAAAAAAAAAATCAATTTACTGTGAATTGCTTAGCAGGTAAAAAGGCCAAAAGGTAAAGATGACACATTTCTTCAATATTTTAAGCAAGATTACTTTTTAATTTCTATCTTTTCACAGTTTTAAAATAACAAAAAAGGAAAAGAGCATGAAGCAAAAGTTTGGGCACCCTGCATGGTCAGCACTTAGTAAGGCCCCTTTTGACAAGAATAGCAGCTTCTTAACACGTTTTATAAACAGCTAAGAGTCTTTTAGTTCTTGTCTGGAGGATTTTCCCCCATTCTTCCTACAAAAGGCTTCTAGCTTTGTGAGATTCTTGGGCCTTTTAACATGAACTGCTCTTTTCAGGTCTATCCACAGATTTTCAGTGATGTTTAGGTCAGGGGACTGAAAGGACCATGGCAAAACCTTCAGCTTGTGCCTCTGAAAGTAGTCCATTGTGGATTTTGAGGTGTGTTTAGGATCACTGTTCTGTTGTAGAAGCCATCCTCTCTTCATCTTTACCATTTTTTTACAGATGGTGTGATGTTTGCTTTTATGGTGAGGACACAGAAAAGGTTTTGTTCTGATGACTCTTCCATGATGGTCATATTTGTGCAGGTGTCGCTGCACAGTAGAACAGTGCACCACCACTCCAGAGTCTGATAAATCTTCCTGCAGGTCTTCTGCAGTCAATCAAGAGCTTTGATTTGTCTTTCTAGCAATCCCACAAGCAGCTCTCTCAGAAAGTTTTCTTGGTCTTCCAGACCTCAACTTGACCTTCACAGTTCCTGGTAAAGCCCCTACAAGGAACTTTCATTTTGAGTTGATTTTGGCAACCCTGTGGACAAAAGCGGTAGTGTTTAGCTGGAATGAAGCCTACATTTCCCATGAGCTCTAGCGCGTATTGTCGTAAAGACGCTTACCTGGCTCACGCATGCGTTTGTTTTGGGGATGAATGAAACAACAAGACGGGAAAACTTTGCCCCCGCTCCTATCGGGGATCCCAGCTCACCTCTGCCGCGCCCCAGCTCCACCTCTGCGGCGTAAGCGCCACTGCCGCCGGGGTAAATGCAGCAGAAGGCCTGTTTGGCCAGCACTTCCACGGCTTCTTGGACTGAGTATGGAGCGGTGCCTCGCCTCTTTATTTCTCGGCACTTGCTGGACCCTGTCGACGTCTGGCTGGTACCTGTCGTCGGCCCGGATGAGGTGTTCCAGCCCCGCGGCCCCTGCTCTCCTAGTCCCCGCTGGCACGGGGTGAATCTGCGCAACCTACGGCCTCTATGTGTGGCTCCCCGGACAGCTGAAGCCGTGGACCCGCCGGCTCCTGCCAGGATTGGGCTGGTAAATGCTAGATCGCTAGCGAACAAAACGTTTATCCTGAAGGATTTCCTGACTTCCCGAGGATTGGATTTTGTCTGCGTGACTGAGACGTGGCTGACTGTTGGTGAGTCCAGTGCTTTCACAGAACTTTTACCCGATGATTGCTGCTATTTTAACTCTCCGTGGACGTCGGGTCGAGGAGGAGGAATAGCAACTATTTATAAGAGTCACTATAAATGTAAGCAGCTAGGTAAGATGACGTGTGCCATCTGAGTGCCGTAAATCGTTTCGTCCTGAAGCGACCTGGGGCGGACCCGGAGACAGTTTCCTAAAGGTATGGATATACACTATATAGAAATAGCTTATCTTCACACTGATGGTCTCATTTGCTGTTGTAGGTCAAGCACAGACATCAGCAGAAACGAGAGACTTTTGCATATCCAGTTAAAAGTTCCTTGTAGCGGATTTAACTGCCATTTCTTAATAACATTACAAAATGAGGAAACAGCTACCTGAAATCATTTTGCTCTCCTGCTTTGTGGGCATCAGTTATTTTAGTTTTCAGAGTGTTAGGCAGCTGTTTAGAGGAACCCATGGTTGCTGGTTTCATTAGAGTATTTATAAAGCTTTGAAATTTGCATCACCTGGCCTCTCCTAACGATGACTGTGAACAAGCCATAGTCCTAACAAGCTAATTATGGTCTGAGACCCTGGTAAAAGCTGTCAGAGCCCAAATGTCTTAGGGTGCCCAAACTTTTGCATGGTGCTTCTTTCCTTTTCTTCACTTTAAAATTGTACAAAACAAAAATAATACACTAATGTTGCTTAAAATGTTGAAAAGCATGTTTCATCTTTAACTTCACGTCTTTTGGAGATCAGTTCGTCTTCTACTCACTTAACTACTCCTAGTAAAAGAAATTCTGACCAGGCGTGCCCAAACTTTTGCATGTCACTGTATCTTCTCTTGATGAACATAAGAGTATATTTCTAATGTTCTAACCTTTGCTGTAAATTGAGCAGGAAATACTTTTAATTGAGTGTTTTTCTGGTTTACCATGTGCTGAGTGAGGAAGTAGAGTTGGGAGCGGTTGAGCCATTGGCTGCTCTCTTCACAGCTCTCCAGCATCTCCTCCCTCGGGGCAAAAACAGCGTGAGTCACCTTCTCCGAGCACACGGCCTTGTGGGAAAACAGTGGCCGAGGCTCACTGGGCTTAAACACGAACACTGAAAATATATAAAAAAAAGAAAAGCAGCAAAAAACATTACAATTATAACAGATTTCTACATCTCCTACAGAATGTGATAAACAGAAACATAAGAGTCAAAGCCCTAGCACACTGACAATACGTGACAAACTGACAATAGAAAAACTGATATTACAACACACGATGCCAAAGAGCACCCTGAGTTATGTTTCTGGGTTTTTTTGGATGCATTCAGCAGCTGTATCTTGGATCGAAAAGTACTTTGGGAGAGTTTTTAATGTCTTGGTACAAAGTGTAGTATTTTTAGATATGCTAGCTGATTGCTACTGCGCAGACTCTGGCTCCAAATGACATCACCACTGCAAGATGGCAGTGGACCTACTCCAGATATTTTGGCTTTATTTCTGTACAGTGGGAGGAAGTGCAGATGCATTGTCAAGCTTTCTGTACAGTGTTTACGTCCAACCTTAAATATCCCCACAACGACTGAATGGATTGCTGCCAAATTTGATACATTCACGGTACCCAGAGGATGAATCCTACTAATGTTTTCTCTCATGTCACAGGTCAACAAATACCGCTTTAAGTGATATGTCACCAAAGTTATTGGATGGATTGACAGAATAAACTAATATAACTCTGAAATTTTCTCTAGTGCAATACTCAGGTTAAAAGTTCAGTATACACAATACTTTGGTGTATGACCTGCAAATGAGACATGTATCGTTGCAGCCAAATTCCATTTGAGGCCTACAACACACACCCTACAAACTGCGCTCACCACCAGTACAAGACAAACAGACTAATGCGACAGTTATTTGAACTCTGCTAAAACGCGACTTGTAATGACTAAATATGAGGCCACTTGATAGTTAGCCAAACGTTAACTTTGCATTTTCTTTATGGCTTACACTTCAGGACCAAGGAGTGAAAGGGGCTGATTGTGGACTGACAGGGGGTGAGTTACGTAGCTGGTTGGTGGGTCAAATAGCTGCTCCAGCCGCAGTGATACCGACTTGTGCAAAACTAATGACATTCACATCATGCCATGTCACAAATGGTAAATGCTGCAAGGATGGTGGGAGACTCCTAATATTGTTAAAATATTTAGCTCTAAAATATTTATCAGACTTCTTGCATTTAACCCACAGCTCAAAGGAAGTGCCTTGTACAGTTGAAGCACTGAATTCATGAGGCTCTTTGTTCTTAGGAAGTCTGTAAAAGTCAAAATACACCATTCAACCAGTCCACTTCAAGGGGACTTCCTGCAGACTTCCAGAAAGTCTAAAAAAACAAAACTTATGAATGTGTAAAAAAGTTGTTGATAGTTATTAAAACACTACTTGAATTGTATAGGTCAGAAATAATATTCAACCACATACAGATATATGTAGAAGTTTATGCTATGGGAGGTAATGAAAATGCATTTTATTATTGCAGCCTGTGTGCGCAGTGTAGTGCCAAATATATAGGCTAGAAAATTGGCCGAAAAATAATAAAAGAAGGTTTTCTAAATGTAAGTACTGCCCAATTTATTCAGTCATAGACTGGTCCTTATTTCCAAACATGTCTATATCTGAATATGTGTAGCCTATATGGGATACAGAGATGTATGATTATCATTTTCTTTAGTCACAAAAAAAACTATTAATAGGATGAGTACCTTGTTATCTGCACAGATAGATGAGCAGACACTATCCATCAACTTGCATGAGGAATATGACAGATGTGATCACCTTGTGCATAACTGTAGTTGTCCCTCGAACGTTTCCAAGGCAATGAGTGAAATGGATTGGAGGCCTGTTTATCAGTGGCTTGCAGTCTCCGCCTTCACAGACTTTACGTGATGCCAGTGAACACATAGCAGTACACACAACTGAAGTCCGCAAGGGCTCAGTCCACAAGTCCAGAGGGTGGATATTTGGATTCAGCTACAGAATGAACGTACATTTGACTCTCTTCTCAGAGCAGGGGTTGTATTCACAGAGCTTTCTTGTATAAAGAGTTTCTCCTGGTGACAAATTTCTAAGAAAACTCTATGATGCTTTCTAAGAATTTTCCCTTACAGTTAAGATTAAGTCCTGGTAAAGATGAAAGATATTCACAAAGCATCTTAGCCCTTAAGATAAGTTTTTAAGTCCTTAAAACTGTTAGGAGTAGGGAGGAAAACTTATAAGAGGCTTAATAAGAGGAGAAAAAAATGAGATTACATCGTGCAGGCATCATGTTTGTGGTAGATCTCATTAGAAATGCACTCACATTCCCCACCCAATACAATAACGATACAACGCCAGGAATTAAGGAGATCACAACACTGAGATATTTGGCAACAAGGAAAATGCAACAGAGCCGCATGACTTGGGTCTGTCTCAAGCAGAGTGATCACACTAACAAAGGGTCTGACAACACTTTCATAGTCTTATATTGTGATGCAGTTCATTTCATTTCTACCGGATGTTAACACCTTGCAGGCTCACAAAGTACATGTCTGTAACTACTGATCAAACCTTTTAAAATATTACATCATATCTAGCAACAGATCAACCACACCTCCTCACTAAGGTAGATGTTTCTGTCCATTCCTTGCTAAGAGCTGCTCTGAGAATTTTCCTAAATCACTCCTAAACTAAACTCCTTGCTAAAAACTTTCAGGCTGAATTAGGAGCTCTCCGAGAACGTGAATACAGCCCCTGACCTTTAGGACTACCTGCGACTCTATTACTTGCCTATCATGTCAGATTTGTGTTCTATGTTGTGTCATATATTCAGGTATCAATAACCTGTTGTGAAATAGTTGCTGTGGGATTTAAAAGGTTTCCATGTGCTTTCAGATTATAACTGTGAAATTTTTTGACCACTCAGTTTAAAGCTTACAGTCGGTGCATCCAGCCTGACAGCAGAAGGCAGCCATGTTCTCAGTGAGGGGGTCAGCCAACAGCAGGCTGATGTCCATTGAGGTGCTCCACTCCACTGCCAGAGAGGACAGAGAAAGAGAAAGAGGTAACAGCAAGATTTAATTAGAAATGAAAAAAATTAAATAAAAATAAATAAATACAATTTTTAGAATTTTTGATATGAGCTCTATATATGGAGCCTTACATGAGCAGGTGAGGAGGTTCCAGCAGCAGAGCAAGTTGTTGGCGGTAGTACCCAGGAGATACTTGGAACAGCTTAGTCGCCCAAAACAAAGATTCCTGGTGAAAAAAAAATGTCACCTTTTTTTCCATGTGACTATAAAGAATCCCAAGTGCACCCCACAACCAGCCAGCTCCTCACACCACACATATTTCACAGGATTAGCTTTTGAGGAGTTTTCTGCATTGGGGGCTTCAAATAGAAACACGCAAGCAGGGTCTGAACACCCACCAGGACCCAAACACCCAGAAGATTTGTGTCTGGCAGATAAAGCCATTCAGATTTTAAAATGATGCCTTCTACATATTTAAAGTAAATCTGTGATATTCACATGTAAAATATAAATTACTTTTCTTGATCGAAAAATGCTTTTGTCAGGTGAACTGTTTCTATTTCAGCCCCTTTGCAAGAAAGCCAAAAATGTATTCATTTTTCAAGTTGCATCAGAAGACTCTCGAGTTGGTGATGTTGGAAGTCAAATTATTGACCCAGTTCTACACATCCATAGGTGGTAGTTATGTAAGGGGTACAGGGCAGCTGTCAAAACAGCTGCCGACCATTACCGTTTTTTCTGATTCCTTCCCTCCAACTTTAAAGTCCTATCATGAACTATTTCCCTTCCAGCTCCCAAATTAGACAGGAAATGTCTTATTTGAAGAGGCATTCCGAGTATGACTACTTAGAACAGCTCATTGTTATGCATCATTAGTTCAGACAAGTTTACATTTGTGTAAAAGAGAACAGAAATAAATGTCTGTCTTTTGTGATTGTTACTGTGATTCCTCTAATAGTTTTTAAAAGTTTCCTGACACTAAAAATTTTCTCTAAGCTGGTTCCTTATTCCAAACATAAAAGGCAAGTCATCTCTCTTTGTTTGTCTTGCAAATATGCTGAGTCAGTGTTCTGAGCTTATTTCATAAAAGTGGTAGAGAAACTAGCAACAGTAGTTCTGTGTCCTCAGTGACCTAGGGGCCGCCTGAGCGGGGTGGAAATGGGGGAGAACACATGCCAACATTTTTGAGACTCAAGCAACGTTGCGCAACTACAGCCTGTAACCATGTTCCTCTGGCTGACAGGCAGTACTTTTTTTTTTCCAGGGGGTCACATCCCCTGTCAGCTGTGAGAAACAACACTCTGGACTTCTGCCAGTGTTGTAAAAAGGTACTTTAACTGTTCAAAGACATCCAAAGCTGAGGAGCCTCCATAGCGAACAACCAAACTCTAAAACAGCTGGTTGCTTAGTGAATCTGTGTGTGTGCAGTGTCATATGTATGCCCCATTTTTCTGAATGCAAGCTCCAGTGTGTCCAGTCTGCACTTACTTAGGATACACACATTTTACAGTACCGCAGGTCTACAGCCAATATTAATTTAGTGAAGCTAGCATACAGACAACAAATGTACTCTATGATCATTCTGAAGCAAAAGCTAGGATCCTCAGTAAGCACATTTTCTTGCAGCAGACTTTAGCTCAGTGCTGCTGAAGGCTATCTTGTGGCAACTGGCCCTCTTTGTTAAAGCAGTTACTTCTGTGTTTGGCATGTCTTTTTAGATTTTTTTTCCCAATTTACAGATTTAATGTCGAATTTGTAACTGATGAGCTGCCAATTACAGCATGGGCTTGGTCAGTATCTATATTTTCTTACCTTCATATCCTCCTGACATTTCAGCGGGGTATACAGTACAAGAGGGTATAGAGTGTGCCAGTAAACCCGGAACTCCGTTAGCGCTTTTAGCACTTCGGGTTCTCTCGTCTAAAAGTCAATACGTTTTTTGAATGGGATTTTGGTAAAATGCCTCAAATAAGGTCTGTGGTTAACAAAAGCTTAAGCGAGTTTCAGGTTTTGTTCTACGACATAAAACACGTCAGTAAATACCCTACTTGTGAATTTTGAAGCTTTTACGTGTCGTAAAAAAGGCGGTTGCTAACAAGTTGCTCAATACGACTACAAACCCTGTCGGGGACATTAAACGTCATCACCCCCGAACAGGCGAGAGTGCTGGCAATCCGCCATTACAGCTTCTTATTTAGCTTAAACAGTCCGATTTCCCCATTATACAATGTTTTTAAAATAAAGCGGCCGAAATCAGTTGAAAGCTTAGTGGCAGTGACGTCAAGAGTCATGCGACCGTGGAGTAGTCATGTAGTCCGTTAAAGCCTAACGTTAGCTTTTGACTTCTGGCGATCGCATTTAAGCTTCAAATGCGGTATGAAAGGTGTTCATATGTGAAGATTATCTCGCTGAACAAAACCTGTAAGTATCTTAAACTTGTGTTAGCCACAGAGCTTATTTTCTGACATAATCCAAAACGCAATGTAAAAATCACATTGCCTGCGTTCCAAATCGCATACTTCTACTATATATTTTTAGTATGTACTGCAGCTGCCCTTAAAAAGTATGTAGTGCAGTATGCAGTATGCATACTATTGGGACACACTACATCCGCTCCCTGAACTCTGACCCTCTTGCTCACTTCCGCCGCCGTCTGTAGCGCCACATTTGAATATTTTGTTTTGTTGTGCTTCGGAGATGCAGCAAATCTCCTCTCGTCGAGCTCGCCAGAGTCGTGCATACCGTTGGAGGTGCCGGAGAGCTCTGTTGCTGTTATGTCGTAATGTATGTTGTTGTTTCTAATAAACTGACGTGTTCACATAAACAGTCCCAAGCCTATTATTAGTGACCTGTCCATTGAACTAGTCACCAGTAGGCATATTAACCCCCTTCACACATAGCTCTCTGTTGCTGGCAGATGTTTGTTGTTAAATATATTTACAGCTATGCAGCTGCTGGCACTATATTCTGTCTGCACATGAAGCAGCCTTACATTCACATTACTTTTATTTGTAGTGTAACATACTTGCACATTCTTACTACATTACTTAATATGTATTTGACTTTTACTATTTATATATTTACTGGTCTATACTGCTCATACCTGGGCCCTAGTGTATTCATATTTAGTCATATTCATTCATTATTTATACCACACTTACACCACTGCCTATACTGGTAGAATCTTCTATATTGTAGTCATAGTTGAACCCTAACATTGATTATACTATAA